CGGCAGGCTCTGCCCACGGGGCTTTGGGCTCCAGCCCTGGGCTCTGGCTGCACAGCCGTGGGGCTTCAGGCTCCAGCCCCCTGCTGCCTCCCCCTGCCATCCACCTACCACCCCCATTGCCCCTAACCCCGCTGCCTCCCCTGACCCTCATCCAGTATTTCATTTGTCCCGGGCTTGCCAGGGTTGAGTACCTCTGCTGTGAAAAGTGATACTTGTATGTCACTTTTAGTGTTAATATCACTTTTCACAGCCGACTTACTAGCTAGCCATAAATATATTACAATAATTTGGACATGTGTATGTGCATATTTATTTGTTTTTCCTAAAGCTAACCAAATATTATAGGAAAAAATATGAGAGCGGCTATCAGCGAGTGCGGCCACCAAAAAATTTGTCCTGAGAATCCCAGGGCTAGATCCTGCAGTTGCTTCTGTATGGACGGACCCCTGTGCCTGCCTGGAGCCCCATTGCCCAAGGCTCCCATGCTTATTCCCATCAAGTGTAGTCCTGTTGACCTAAATGGGATTATTCACAGTCACAAGTGTTATGCCTGGTCTTAAGTGTGTGCTGGATTGGGCCCTAAACAGACACAATGAGGTACAGGACATAACTGTGCCTTCTTAGTCCCACAAAGTGTGTGGCTTGGAATTTTTAAATTAAATTTTGTATTGGGCGGGGGGCGGGGGGGGGGCTCCTGCTTTCACTTTATGAAATTGTGATGCTCTTACCCTTTGCCACCATGGGAGAGAAGCGATAATAGAATAAACATGACTTCGGTCTGTTCCCAAGAGGTGACCTGCCAAGGATCTAATGATGAACACATCTGGTATGTATAAGTGAGCTCTGTAGCCAGTCCATATCTGATACAGAGGAACACGACAGCCTCCGTCAGGGAACAAAGTTATCGAGAAATGCTTTCTGGTGGCAAGTTTAAAACCAGATTCAGCTGTAAATTCTTTAGCAGCGGGACAGTCTTTTTGTTACATGATTGTACAGTGCCTAGCACAATGGGGTCCTGAGCACTGATGAGGTCTCTTGGCTCTACTGCAATACAAATAAATAATATTAAATAAAATAACAAATTTCAAGTGCCCGTCCTTACTTTGACCAAAGCTTTGATTCCAGAAACAGTCAGAGAGATTCTATTTTGTTTGACTGGATCATGACCAATTTGTTATTAAAATCTTTACAGACACATTATCTTGAATAACCCTAAGAAAAGAAATGCTCTGTCACTCTCTATGCTGAAGTGTCTCCGCGATGATATTCTGCATGATATCGAAAGCAAGGCTCTCAGAGTCATCATCATTTCAGGTACTTCCTTGATCTCAGGGGAAAATAAAGGTTGGAAAAAAAGATGGGTTAACTGCCGTGTTCTACAATGCCATGTACCTAGTGGCGGTTTGGACAGTGTTAGAGTTGGGCAAATAATGGATGTTTTGGTTCACTGTCAGTTCCAAATTTGCAGAGTTAGGGCCATTGTTTACCCAGCTGTAAAATTGGAATAATACTTACCCAAACTCTGTTAGGTGTTTTAGATGAATGTCATTACAGATCTGGGGATCCTGCAAAGACTTACATATATGTAGGGCTTCTATTTTTCAGGGCTTATTAATTTCATTTTTAGGGGGTTATTTTTAGCCGTTTTTAAATTGTATGTAGCTGTAGATGGTACAGTCTTCCAGGGGAGCAGTGGGGGCAAAAAATCTAACTTGTTTGAAGACTGAGCTTGATAAGCTTATGAAGGGCATGGTATGATGAGGCTATATGGCCCATATCTCCAATGGTTGGAGATGGGACACTAGATGGGGAGGGCTTTGAGGTACTACAGAGAATTCTTTCCCAGGTTTTTGACTAGTGGGTCTCACCCGCATGCTGAGGGTCTAATTGATCACCATATTTGGAGTCAGAAGGAATTTTTCCCCAGGACAGATTGGCAGAGACCTTGGGAGGTTTTCACCTTCCTCTGCAGCGTGGGTCACAGGTCACGAACTGGTTTGAACGAGTGTAAATGGTGGATTCTCTGTAACTTGTAGTTCTCAAATCTTGATTTAAAGACTTCAGTAACTCAGCCAGAGGTTATGGGCGTATTACAAGAATGGGGGGGGAGGGGATATTCTGTGGCCTGCAATGTGCAGGAGGTCAGACTACATGATCATGATGGTCCCTTTTGGCCTTAAAATCGATGAGTCCAAAAATCAGGGATGTTGGAGTTTTCTCTTTGTATACACTGTAATGAGCAACCTCTTCATAATGTTCCCCGGTGTACATCAACCTAGTACTGTTTCGAACCACACTATGCTAAAGCGCACCAGGGAACCTTTAGTGCCCACCAGCAGGGTCTGCCCAGACCAGTTAATGCGCAACACATTCGTGTGCTTTAGAAATCACCCCCTCATAGTCTGCATTACTGCTCTGTGTAGACAAGTCCTTAAATACAAGTAACCATTGCCAGGGTTTATTTGATAAACACTATTTTTTTTTATATCGTGTTTTATTGGTTAAGACTTAAAATCAGAAGTCCTACATATGCTTAATTTTACACACTGAGCAATACCTTCAAAGTGACCTGAGAGAGTACTACCCACACTGTGTGAAGCTAAGCATGTGCTTAAGTCCATGCAGGGTCCAGCCCTACTCTATACGTGCAATAATAAGGACTGATGGTAGTAATAACGAAACTTTCCTTCACTCAGTAAAAATACAAATCTACACCACTGACAAACACTGCAGAAACCCTCTTGTAAGCAGTAGCGTTTTGGACCATTACTGCAATATATTTTTAAGGGTTCATAAGTCCAATTGCTACTTTTCTTTTAAAAATCAATTTTATATAGAGAGATTTTTTAACAGAATAAAGCCTAGGTTACAATGACCATCAGGTTAAAGAAAATTCCTTTTTTTTTTCTTTTTAAGGGTTTACTGTTCAGAGGTGTTGAGCTCCCACAACTCCCATTGATTTCAGTGGCAATTCCAGAGGCTCATGTGCTTAATGTTGATATTGTGATCAATGTCACAACATGTTGTGCAGAAGTTCAGTGGCTAGGACACGATATTGAGACTCAGGAGATGTGGATTCTATTCCCAGCTAAATCCCTGCCTTTGTACTCTTGCGCAAGTCCCCAAACTTCACCGTCCCTCAGTCTCCCTATTTGTAAAAGGAAAGATGACAAACGTGATAAAGATCTAAAAGTGACCAGCATTATATAAGAGCCAAGTTTTATTATGTCCCTTCTTCCTTCTAGATACTCATATAACCCCTATCACTATAGGTAAAGTTGATGGGGATGGTATAAGAACTGGAATAAAACAGTAATATCTGAGCACTTCCAGAGCATATAAAATAGAAAAAAACAATAAACAATCTTTTTTTCTTTTCTGGCCTATAGGAGCAATAGCTTGATTCGTTTATAATTCTTTTTAATTTTGTGTGCATTGTTGTGAGAGTTGGATTGTGTGTATATCTCTGTGGGTGAAGGGCTTATTGAGGGAAAGGCAGGTCAGAGAGATGAGCTTTCAATTAGCTTTGAAAGTCCATGGTACTTTTTATGACTTGCTGTAATGAGTTTCATCATCTAGGTGCAGCCCCTGTGAAAATTCTGGCTCCTGTACACTCATGAGCTGCCTTGGGATGCTCCACAGACGAGAGGGTGAAACAAACAGGGGAAAAGTGACCATTTTTTTGAAAATTTCTACTAATTTTTCAAAATCAAAAAAAGTAAACGTTTTGTTTACAGGGGGCTGCAGCCTCCTGACTTCACAGAGCTTGAGAATCCTTGGAGATATATGGTTCTATCCTCGCAGATCACAAATTTTTACTTGGGGGGGTTATTTCTTGCTTTAATTTTTTTTTAAACGAGAACTTTTAACCAGCTGTACTCCAGTTTCATTGTTTTAGTGGAATGCAGCTGATATGGAGGAGGAAGTGATCTCAGGCCGAATCCTATGGGATGGTTTTTCATGACCTAGCAGTGGAGTGGCCCATGGGCTACTGTGTTTTATATAAATAGGAGCTTTTTAAGGGTGTGCATGTGGCTTTTTCCCAAACATAATTAGTTACAACAATCTGGCACAAAGGGAACAATTACATGGCCAGGGCTGCATCTGTCTGCAGGGATGGGACACAGTCTTTGCAGTTGGACATGGATGTTTTTTGGTGCCTGGCTACATAAGTACCCATTAGTAATGAGGAGCTCTAAAGAACCCCAAAACTGCCGACCAACTTATCCTGAGGGCAAATCCTCGATAGAGAGGATACTTCCTTTTTCCTATCACTATTACCTTGCTGTGGCCAGGATTCAGCATTCATCTAGATGCAGATCTCTAGTAGGCATTGAGAGAGCTGGGGAGTGATACTGTTTGTGTTTGACATAAAGGAGATGTATAGCTGGGTGTATTCTGCATACTGATGGCACTTCAGTCTGTGCTGTCATACCAGCCTTCCTGACTGCATCATATAGTTAAAGGATCCTGGGGAGAGAGGAGAGAGAGAGAGGACTTAGCCATGTGGGACTCCACAGATGAAAGCTTTGGAGGTGGAGCAACCATTGCCCACAACAACCATCTGAGAAGAAAGACAGTTCTTGTCTGTTGCCCTCCTGAACAGCCTGGCACCAAAATCCTGATCTTTATTTAGCGTGGGTGAAATATTAACCAGAGCCTGCTGAGTGCTGTGTAAACAGGAGAGAACTGTGTTAATCAGCCTAAGAACAGAGCAGCTCCCCACCATACTGGGTAGGAGCTGTTATTTAAGTTGCACTGAATAACTATTTTGTGGTGTTTTCTGAAAAGCTTGGCTGAGCCCTGTAAAACCACATCACTTCCTATTGACTGAGGTAGGAAACTGCTAAACACAGGGGGCCAAATACTACCCCCCTCCCATGGAAAAGCCAAGGGGATGAAGGAAAGAATTTCAAAAATTCTGTGGGTGTGACCTCACGTTATTTTTGAGGGGCTGCAACCTCCTGACTTTACAGAGCTTGAGGATCTTTGGAGATGTATGGTTCTATCCTTGCAGATCACAAGGCATACACGCAGAGAGCCAGCCCCACTATGCTTTTCCCTTGCCTCCTGCACTGCCCAGCCCCCCTCGCTCAGGAACAGTGCATTTGGTATACCACCTTCTCTCCGAGCTGAGGAGGGGGTGTCACTACTGCAAGAAGCAGCACTAACTCCCCTCTGGATTTCTCCTAGGAGCCCTGAGTTGCTAGGGAGCATTTCACATACAGCAGTAATATTAATAAGGTGAACATGTGGCCTGTCGTGATTTGTCACGATGGAGGTACCAGGGCCGGCACCAGCTAAGGAAGCAGGTGCTTGGGGCGGCCAATACAAAGGGGCGGCACTCCATTTGCTATTGGGGCGGCACGTCCGGGTCTTCGGCGGGAATTTGGCGGCGGGTCCCTCAGTCCCTCTCTTCCTCTTTGAGCTGCCACCAAAGTGCCTCGCCACTTGGGGCGGCAGAAAACCTGGAGCCGGCCCTGGCAGGTACCTCCTGCATTGAACCGATCCGTAGTGTTACTATACAATTAAGAAATTGTCATGTTTTCACCCCAGAGGTGTCTGCATTTCAGCAGCTTAAGAGATCCCTTTGTATGGATTGTATATCAATTTAAGATTATAAGGTGCCTTGGATGACTTTGGGATGAAATATATTTGAGCTACGTGCATGTAAATTCTTATTATGTCTGCCATTTTGTGCCTCTCCTAGATGACCAGTTGTCATGGCTTGCACTAAGTTACACAAGAGGTGCTCAGTAACAAGTGATGTAAGATCACTGTTGCATTTCACTGGGTACTTACAATGGAAGGCAAAGTGAAGCTGAAAATGAAAGCTCATGGGCTTCCTCTACAGATGTGTCCTTACAATGCCCATTAGAGTCCATGGGGCTTATGTGACTAAATGCTGTACAGCAGTCTGTATAATGGCAGTTGAAATCTTGATCTAAAAAACAGGCGCCAACATTTTGTGATGTTTTTGCAAAGTACCCCCGCCCCCATTTTTTGGGTATCTCTACTTCTGCCATGTA